ATGGGAGCCAAAAAACAGGTGCCCATAGTGTAGTATATTCAAGTTTTATTAAAAAATAAAAGTAAAAGAGTAAAAGAGTAAAAAATAGAGTAAAAGAGGGTAGTAAAACACTTGATTTTTGTGTAGTAATGCAGAGTATACAGCAGTGATACTGACCCTAGTTAAGATGGCCGCCCTTTAGAATCTGCTGAATGCTGAGACCAGGGGAGACAGAGATCAGGGGGTGCTGCAGCTGCACTGAGAGGTGCAGAATTTGGCAGAGGACTTCTATTCTCCTCTCTGCTGCCGACTGCTGAGACAAGGGGCGGAGAACAGGGGGTACCTGCAGGAGAGGTGAAAGGGCCACATGAAATGGCTTGCAGGGCTGGATTTGGCTTGCGGGCCTTGTGTTTGACACCTGTGGTCTATGCAGATAAGGAACGGCTGTAGGTAAAACAAGCAGTGCAGCTTTGACCAAAGTTGCATAATGCCCTTGCTATAGGTGTAGGCCATTTACATATTTCATGAAGCCTGACTGGAAAACTCCTAAGAAGTTGCCAGGAGATGCCTAGATGTCACAGTTCACCTCCACCATCACAGGAGCAAGCGCTTTTTTGATTTGAAACCCCTCACATGCGCTTCCTCTCCCCTGATGCAGTAGTTCTGAGCTCAGTGTTTGAAAGCTCACTCCTGTGATGGTGAACAGTAACAGCTAGGTGTCGCTTAGCAACGTCCTAGCAGTTTTCCAGTCAGGCTTCATGAGGTACGTAAATGGCCCACACCTATAGCAAGGACATTATTCAACTTTGGTCAAAGCTGCACAGTTTGTTTTTATCTACAGACACTTCTTATCTCTATAGACAGTTTTTTGGTAAAGGTGAACTAACCCTTACAGGAGTGAGGTGTCAACCGTGGTTCATGGCAGGATGTCAGGAAGGTGAAGGTAACATCATGGACAACCTCAAATGATCACCTTCTCCCTTAGCAAATCAGCTCTTGTAGTTAAACAAAGGAATTCTTTACTATATAAGGTACAGTAGGATTGGAAAAATGAACAGTATATAAAAAAGGAAACAAAATTTTATATTCTTTTCTTACTTAGGTTGGTTGAGGTACAATGTATGGGAGCATTTTGATCTAGGAAATTGAGTGGATTACCTTTATGGTTGGGAAACAGGGGCGGACTGACCATTCGAGCACTCGGGCACTGCCCGAGGGCCCGGAGTCAGTAGGGGGCCCCATAAAATGCCCCTGGTACCTTTTATAGGCTTTTTTGGGTGTGTTTGGAGTATGGGCAAGGACACAGGGGCCCCATGATCCCCAATTGCCCGGGGTTTTCAGTCTGCCCCTGGTTGGGAAGGTTTATTTTCCCAAAGGGGTGGGGGCATCTAAGTGTACATTCTCGGCACACTTTGGTGTTGGGATGAATGAGCTCCCTGGCACATCTGTTATGTCATCCTGTCCATTTAAAATGGCTGACGATCCCAAACCCAGAATATGCCAAGGAGACGTTGGCACTGGGCGTGGGTGGTTCAGACATCTCATGATTGGAGGGTAGGTGAGTAAATGTACATAGTTACACAGTTAGTCTGGCTGAAAAAAGACAAACGTCCATCCAGTTCAACCATAAAAAAAAAAGTTATAGCCCTACACCCATAGTTGATCCAAAGAAAGGCAAAAAAACAGCAAAGCATGATTCAATTTGCTCCTGCAGGGGAAAGCATCTCTTCCTGATCCCCCAAGAGGCAATCGGATATTCCCTGGAAGTATTGTCAGGTTAAAGGAGTGTTCCTGGCAGGCCGACATGAGTGTGGCTATTTGCAAGGCAGTGAGTTAGCACTGTCATCCTGACACAGGAAGTGCTGTGACTGACAGGATCATCAGGCAAGGTATTTTGCAACAGATTTACAATGATTTGCTTAGGAAAACTAAACAGTGAAGCCTGGTGTCAAACATAATACAAATAGATATGGGCTTACATACACTTGATTTAAATAGCTAGAAATAGAAATATACTATTTTTAGATCTTTACCACCCTATCTCACCCCACTTTGTGACACTCTCATTATGATCTATTGGTGGTAATGGGCAAACACTTCAAGCTGACAGCTAAATATACAGTTGACATACTGTATGTGTAGGTTTACTGTTTCACCTGTCAAGAAGTTTGTCATGGAGTTCATTGACTCACTTTTGCCACATTGCACTGCTAGACTGATGGCACACTTATTTATTCGTTCATCAATTAACCTTCCTTGGGCACTTCTCTGCTTATAAATCACTATTAACCTATCTGTCCAGTGATCAGAGTGCTGCCCCCAGGAAAAGGTCATTCTAATTCCTAAAGTAGCAGTAATCATTCTGACTATTTAAAAATAATTTCCACAGTTATTTTCCTGGTCATCTAGCATTTCTATACTCATATCACAGTCTCAGGACTACGTATGAACATAGAAATGCTGAGCAAGTAAAATTGTGCAGAGAAGGACCCATGTTTTCTGTATGAAGCAGTAGCCTCTGTCCAGAGGTCCAACACACTCCCTGCTGAGTCAAAGCTAAAGCGGTCCAGTTAGCAGGAAGTTTGCGATTTTCTGATTGCAGCGTTTTAGCCCTTACATGGCAGGGGGCATGTCAGACTTGTGTAGAGAGACCACTGCTTCCACACAGAGAACGAGGATCCTTCTCTAGAACATGCTAGTGAAGGACAGGCCTTTCTACTCAGGATGTGACTGCTTTCTTAACCGCTTAAGGACAGCCCTATAGCAGATATACTGCTACAGGGTGGCACCTGTGCGCAGAATCACGTTTATATATGTGATTTTGTATTTCCGGGTAGGGGGCGCGCGCCCTACCCACATCGCCATTTGTGGCCGCGGATGTCAATCACCGGGTCCCAGCCGGTAATCACCCTCCGGCGCCCAGTGATTACAAAGCATCTCCAAAGGGGAGGAAAATTGTTTTGTTTACAAACAATCTTCCTCCCTGTCAGCTCAAGCACACTGCTCAGGATGGCTGTGCACATTACAACCATCCAGATCAGTGTGCTTACAGTGAAGAACACCCACCCCCCCCCCCCCTTTGATCGCCCCTAACATTTACCCATTGGTGTATTTAGGTTTTGTGCTGCCCTAGGCAACACAAAAATTGTTTGCCCCCATGGACACCAACCAACACCAACCCCCCCTTCTCCCTCCCATGGAGAAAGCCTGACATTGGCAAAACAACACCCCCACCTGGGAGAGCCTTCCACTACCCCCACCCAGCGATAGAGAGAAAGACACTCATCTCTGGACATCCCCAGGAATGAGAGTCAGCCTCTATATACACCATCAAGCAGACCGCAGCCTTTCTCAGATCCCACCTGGTTCCCATGGAGCACGTATCCCTTCTTTCATCCCTTCTTCTGCGGGAGAGGTGCTGCCCCCCTGAAAAATGCCGCCCCAGGCAAGTGCCTTGTTTGCCTTGTGGTAAATATGCCCCTGCATTTACTCCTTCCTGCCCAGTGCCATTAGTACAGTGTCAGTGCTTTTTTTTAGCACTGATCACTATATTGGTGTCACTGGGGTGTCAGTGACACCAAGCTAGTTCCCCCCCCAGTGTAAGAATGTCTGCCGCAGTCGCTGATCGCCGCCAATACTAGTAGAAAAAAATCCCATTATCCATTTGTAAACGCTGTAACTTTCATGTAAACCAATTAATTTACACGTATTGGGATTTTTTTTAGCAAAGACATATAGCAGAATACATTTTGGCCTAAATTTATGACGAAATTTGATTTTTAAATTTTTTTACTGGACATGTTTAATAGCAAAAAGTCCAAAATATTGTTTTTTTCTCAAAATTGTTGGTCTTTTTTTGCTTATAGCGCAAAAAATTAAAAATGCACAGGCAAGCAAATATCACCGAAAGAAAGCTCTATTCGTGGGAAAAAAAAGAAAAAAAATTCATTTGGATGCAGCGTTGCATGACAGCGCAATTGTCAGTTAAAGTAGTGCAGCACTATAACACAAAAAAATGGCCTGGTCATGAAGGGGGGTAAATCCTCAGGAGGGCATGTGGTTAAGGAAAAAAAACTGTAAGGCCTTATTCACACCAATATCTGCAGTGGCTGGTGGACAAACAGCTCCATGCACACATTCCATCTGTGTGAACATCAGCGCCACAGCTGCCAGTACAAATGAATGGCTAAGGCCATTACTGTTCACATGTAACCCTTCATCCAAACAGTCATATGTGAATAGTGCCCCTGAGTGAGTGTAAATGAGGCCTAATACTATGCACACCTTTTGTTTTCACGCACTGGAATTGGAATGTATAAAAGTGAATTTGAACTAAAGTTGAATTGTTCTTTGAAAATTCAAAATCAATTGCAGTTCTAAAACAATCGGAGCTGCTCGTATTATAGAAATGCTCCTGACAGCCAACACAATTTCAGTTTTGACACAACACGCTGCTTGCTAACAGTTTATTTTGTTTTGAACAGACATATACAGTATATTGAGATAATAGCTTGGCCCTACTTATAATGTGGTGTACCGGAAAAAGAGCTTGGAACAAAACTAGAGGAGCATGATAAGAAGAAAATATTTAGATTGGCCCATAGTGCTGTAAATCTGAATATAGTAGAGATGAACTATAAATGTCTAGTAAGATGGTACTGTACACCGAGTGTAGCACATAAACAACGATCACAAAATTCACTGCTATGTTGGAGGGATGTGGGTTTGAAGGAACCATGGCACATATATGGTGGGATTGCCCTAATATCTAAGAGTTTTGGCAAGGAATAATTCAACAAATTCAGGTGATAACAGGAACAAGAATACCAAATAACCCTTGGGTGTGTATATTTCATAAAATGACTTCACGGTTGAAGAAATATAACAATACATTAATATTTCACTTAACCGCCTCCTGCTCACCATATAGTCCAATGACGGACGCAAGGTGGTTCTCGTTCTCCCATTCTCACCGCGCATGCGCGGCTCCGGGAGCGCGCAGCGTGGCGATCAGCGGTGTGCTGTGTCCCTCGGACACAGCGGATCACCGATCCATGACAAGAGCCAAAGATGTCAGCTCGGTCATGTGATCAGCTGTGTCCAATCACAGCTGATCTCATGTAAACAGGGAAATGCTGTTTATCGGTATTTCTCTCCTCATGAGCTGTCACGCTGATAGCTCGTGAGGAGAGGAGAGCTGGTAATCGGCATTCCTCGGAGGGGACATGTACACTGATCATCAGGGCACTGATGATCAGTGTAGCCCCAGCAGTGCCACCTGTCATTGTCCATCAGTGCCAGCTCTCAGTGCTCATCCATGCCACCTTCCAGTGCCCATCAGTGCCACATCAATGCCACATATCAGTGCTACCTATCAGTGCTGCCAATCAGTGCCACCTATCAGTGTCAGTCAGTGCCGCCTATCAGTGCCAGTCAGTGCCACCTATCAGTGTGCATCAGTGCCGCCTATCATTGCCCATCAGTGCTGCCTATCAGTGCCGCCTAACAGTGCCAGTCAGTGCCACCTATCAGTGCCATATATCAGTGCTGCCTTTCAGTGCCCATCAGTGATGCCTGTTAATGCCCATCAGTGCCACCTACCAGTGCCTCCTCATCAGTGCCCATCAGTGCCACCTATCAGTGTTCATCAGTGCAGCCTTTCAGTGCCCATCACTGCAGCCTCATTAGCGCACATCAGTGAAGGAGAAAAATCACTTGATTTACAAAATTTTATAACAAAAACAAAGAAAAAAACATTTTTTTTTAATTTTCAGTGGTTTTTGGTTTGTTTAGGAAAAAATAAAAACCCAGAGGTGATTAAATAGCACCAAAATAAAACTCTATCTGTCACAAAAAAATAATAAAAATTTCATAGGGGTACAGTGTTGCATGACCGTGCAATTGGCATTCAAAGTGTGACAGTGCTGAAAGCTGGAAATTGGCCTGGGCAGAAAAGGGGTATGAGCGCCCAGTAGGCTAGTGGTTAATAAATGCAGCTAAAGGGTTAATTCTGAAATTTTGGCTGAGTAAGGAAACCCTTAAAATAAAAGATTGGTTTAGCAGAGTGGAATATGTGTATACAGGGGCGGACTGACAACTCATGGGGCCCCCAGGCAATAGTGGATCATGGGGCCCTGTGTCCTTGCCCAAACTCAAAAAAACCTATGAAAACGGTACCCGGGGCATCTCATGGGGCGCCCTACTGACCCTGGGCCATCGGGCGGTGCCCGAGTTTCCAAATGGTCAGTCCGCCCCTGTGTGTATAGGATGGAGGACCTTTACCATATTGGAGAAGATAAAACCAAAGAATTTAGAAAATGTGGGAGGAGTGGATGATTTATAAAACAACTAAGAGTAATGCAGAACTGAAAGGAATGTGAAGGAAAGAGAAAGGAAAAGGAGAAGGGGAAGAAGAAGGAAGAGGTAGGAAGATGAAAGAGAAGGGGAAGTCTGCAGTAAAGGAAGGAATGAGGTTAATTGAGGGTTACGGTGACCGGGAGGGGGGGGGGGGGGTTTGTAGGGTTTTTCTTTGTTTGTATAGTAAAATGTTTGATATGGAAAAAATATTGTTGTATAATGTGAAATAATGTATGTTAATTAAAGTTATTAAAAGATATAATAAAATTATAATGTGGTGTACCATAAGTAGGCCTATTCATAGCATTTGAAATGTGTAACTTACCTGTTTGAATAGCTGCTCGTGGGAATTTTTTTGGTCACCGTATGCCATATTTCAGCTAAGGTGAGAATTACCAAGCAAAATGTTTGCAGATAGATTTTCCCATTTATGAATACTTTGACTTTTGATGTTTATTTCATCAGACATAAATGCTACCCACGCTTTTGAAATAAGAGATTTCACTTTTCAATGTCTGTTATTTTTTTTGGCAATCTTTTACTTTTCACGTTTACTGCACTATTATTTTTCTTTTGATTTTTTTTTATAAAGCAGAGAAACATTTAGGGCTCATTCACACCAGATGATTTTTTTCTCACAAAGAACAGAAAATAGTTGTACAAACCAAAATAATGTCAAAGAATGCCAAAAAATTAAAGCAATAAGGGATAGTGTGGTGCAGAGAATAGTACATATCTGTAATCAGGTAAAACACTTTGATAAGAGGAGCTGTAGATACACTATGATGGAGAATAAATGTGGAAGGCATAGTCCCATTGCAATTTCTGTCATGATACATACGAGTTTCACCATGTGAATGGTGTAAGGGGAGCATGCAAACTGGCAGTGACAAGAGCACAGTGGTTAGCAGGAGAGGAGGAGGAAAGATAAAAGGGGAGAAGAAAGAAAGGGAGCAAGAGACAAGAAGAGAAGGTCCAGCAGAGCACTGGTGGGTGGTACAACGGGGGGGTCCCATGAGATCCATCCAATAGCCTGCCAGCCCAAGGTGGTTAATCACAATGACAACAGAGACCGATCTATGCATAGAGGTTTGTTGTAATTTAGCCATGGGCCCCAGATTTTCAGATATGTTGCATGAGTATCATTGAGTATGGAGGTTAGCTTTTCATGTACCATAGTTCCCAAAATCCTTTCTTAACCTCAGAGTTGTTTATTGATGACTCCAGGCTTTGGCTAAGATAGGATGAGCCCAAGAAACACAAAGCCCATCAGTCTTCTCTGGTATTTGTTTAAATGTGAGGTAGGTTTATGAAGCAGTGCTTCCAATAGATTGCGGAAGGTTGTACCCCTGAATCCAAAAATGGAAGGCTATTGGGCAAGTCCACCATATATGAAAAAAGGTGCCCCATTTTGAACAGCCCCAGAAGCAAAGAGGAGAAGCATTAGGAACAAATTTGGATAAGTGGTCGGGGGTCATACAACAGCATAAAACTAGTTTGTAAGCATTTTCTTAGGTGAAAAATATTAAAGGATAAGTTCACATAAAAAAAAAGTAAGTGCACATCTTTTTGTTGGTTAAAAAAATGTGCATTTATTTTTTTTTTTTTACTTGAAGCCCATAAAGCAGGACTCCTGCAGACTTGTCAGTGTATTTGCTCGTACCTCATATGGGCAAGCTGATACACAGTGACAGGAAGAGACAATGAACTACCAGAGCACTCGACAGCGCCTAAAAATGGGTGGAACGTATCATGTTCCTAAAGGTGAACTTATCCTTTAAACATTTAGAGAAGGGCAGCCAGATGTCATTTCAGTCCTTTTGGTCAAGGGAGGTATTTAGCTCGCTTTCCCACTTATGGGTCCTTTCAGCATCGGTTCCCGATTGGGATCAGGCGCTTGGGACATTCGGTCTTACGCTGGAGAGGTGATGCCGTATTTGGATATATCAGAAATATTCTCCAGCTAGTAAGTCCTAATGTTCTCGTAAATATGCAAAGGACTTTATACCAGCAATAAAAATAGCTCATATATAAAAAGAATGCCCCTTAGGTGCCACCAATGAAATGCAAGAGGGTTGTCATAGGCTGGAGGAAATGAGGGAGAATTGAAGATCCCTAATAAGGGGAGATGCCCGAATATTTTGCGGTTCCATTAGCAAAGGGAGTTTTGTAAGTTGGGGTTAGAAATTTTGGGCCTCAGGGATTGTGGGGTATAGAGAAGGTTGTGTATGGGAAAGGCAGAGGAATCCGCTGCAGACAGGTTGGTCCAAATAGACAGTTCATAGGTGGAGTGTAAGGGTGGCTATTTGATGTCAGAAATAAATTTTGAAAGGGTGCTGCCAAGCCTTCTGAAAGCCTACAATGGTAAGGCACCACTACTGATAGCCTAGGTTTGTGGTTGGCCAATATAAAGTTCAGTAACATATGCTGCAATATGCATAAAATGGGGCTTGGGATAGGGATAGGTAGTACCCTAAAATAATACAGCAGTTTGGGCAAGAAAGTCATTTTCAACCAAGCCAAAAAAATGGAAAGGGCCTTCCACAAGATTAGGAGAGCGGCCAAGGTCCTGAACAGTGGTGAATAGTTGGCCCTATACAACGGGTCAAATGACGATGTTAGCCTAATAACTAGGTATGGCAGTGAGGTGGGCCAAGCAAATCAGTAGTTCTCTCGGAGTGAACAATGTTGGTCAGGGGGCAAGGTGAGATTCAGTTCCTTGGCTTTACCTTTATTGACTTGCAAGTTAGAGATAAATCCAAATTCTGTAAAAACCTCACAGAGATTAGGGGAGTGTGATGTGGAGAGAAGATACTGTATATACATTAAGATATCATAGGTGAACTGTGTAAGTTTGTGGTGTTCTTCCAATGTACAGAGGCCGCACATGTCAGGGTTTACCCGGATGGTGACTGCCAGGGGTTCAAGTGTTATTATTATACACGATTTATATGGCGCCAACAGTTTGCTCAGTGCTTTACAATATAACGGGAGACAATACAGCAACAATACAGTTCAATACAAGAGGGTTAGGAGGGCCCTGCTCCTTAGAGCATACAATCTAGGAGTGTAAAAAATAAATACAATAGGGGACACCCCTGTCTCATGCTTTGGCGAATCTCAAAAGGGTTCATGGGGTGGCCTACATATTTCGATACGAGCGATGGTTGGGCATATAGTGTGGAAATCCACAATGTGGAAGTGTTCATCGCCAGATGTTTTTTTAAATGCATCCTGAACTCATGTAAACGTGAAGCGAATCCTTAACACTCTGAAGTGAAAAAAAGGCTAAAAATGCACTGGAACACATTGCAAACACGGTAAAAACACATGTAAATATGCACATGGAATGCGGGGTCTGTGGTGTGAGCTAGCCCTTAGATAATGTTTGGATAAAGAGCAGTGAGATGGAAAGCAATATCCATGGTAATCTTTATATAGACAGGGAGATGTTGTAGCACAGTAACAAGAGCTTTAACCAACTCCAAGTGAGACATGCACACAGTCATGTTCCACAGTCTAGTACAACACCCATAAGCAGATTTAAGTTCATCATATCTTGTGACAAATAGCAGAGAAAAAAAAGTCAGGATTGGGAGAGTAAAACAAAATACAAGCACGTTGTCTTCTGCACAAAACGTTTGTGTGTAAGCCAAAAGGCCACATTCCAGCTGCCAACACCCACTTTGTTTTACGTCAACAATCATTACAAAAATGTCTCTGGTTGCCAAGGAGATGAGTGCAATTGTAAGGAAGTGCAGGTGTGGGAGTGCAGGCTCTATCTTGCTTAGAATTGAACCTCTTAAGGATGACTTCCAGGCTGTTAAAAAGTTTAAGGTGGATTTGCAGTTCACTTTGCTATTGAAATCATTGAGTCAATTTCTATAAAGCCGAGTTCATCAGGGGCCACTATATCCATAAAGAAGACATATGAGGTGAACCTTGTTTTTGTATTAATTTTCAAGCTTTGTACTTAGTGGAAAATTAAATGGTGTCACGTACCTGATTGGAGACTGAAATGACGAGGTCGGCCTCACTTGTGTCACTAGCCCTGACCCCACTAGAAGTGGAACAGAGGGTGTCTAGGGACCAGGGGGACAAGAGCGCCAGCAGATGTTGTTTGCAGCTCTTGCAGTTGGAGACTTTGGAAGACTGATGAACCTCCGATTCAGGCAACGTAGTAATATGCAGAGCTGGTATGGTAGATCGCCCAGGTGTGCACCAGAGCAAGTCAGGAAGCAGGGATAGGAGACAGGAGCAGTGTCAAAGGAATAGCCAGGGTCATCAACCTTCGGACATCGAGGTACCAAATCATAAACAAGCCAAAGTCAGGAGCAGAGCCGAAGTCAGGAACCAGTATCAAGCAGGAGAGTAATCAGAGTCAGGTCAGGAACAAGCCGGGTCAGCAACAAGGAAATTACACAGGAATGAGCAGGAAACAGGG